TCAACAAACCTGGAAGATTTATTGGTTAAAGACATTTAAGAAAATACCTGTCCAGTTATTAGATGAACATTAAGCTAAGTGACTCCATATAACAAAGAATACAGACTCTACAGAATTAGACCATAAAAGTCACTAAACAAACAAACAGTAACACCAACAAAAGAAGAACAAAGAGCAGCAACAACAAATCCTAGGGGAGATCTGTTTGGCAGAGTTGCCACATTATGTTATTTAACTGTTGCTACATAACATTATTTTGTAGAAAACTGTTTTCTACAAAAATTATGAAACACACAAAAAAATCAGCAAATTACGGTCCATACACAGAAAAAGAATAGAAAGCATCTCTAGACAAGTTCAGACCTTGGACTTACTAGACAAAGACTTTAAATCAGCCATTTAAAATATGTTCAAAAAATAAAGAAAACCATGTCTAAAGAATTAAAGTATGAGAATGATGTACCAACAAATAGAAAATATTATTATATAAATGTAAATTATGTATATAAAAAATAGAAATTCTGGACTTGAAAAAATGTAATAACCAATATAAAAATTTCACTAGAGGGACTTCACAGTAGATTTGAACTTATAGGAGAAACAGGGAACATGAAGAGAGGTTAATTGAGATTATCCAGTCTGAGGAACATGAATAAAAAATGATGAATGAGATATGACAAAAAATGAACAGAGCCATAGATACCTTTAGGAATCTATCTAGCATACCAGTCTATGCATTATAATAGTTCCAGAATGAGAAGAGGAAGAGAGAGTGTCAAAAAGAATATTTAAAAGATAAAAACCTTCTTGAAATATGATGAAAAACTTTAATTTGTATATCCAAGAACCTCACAAAATTTTGAGAAGGATAAACTCAGAGATCCACACCTAGCCACATCATAGTCAAACTGCTGAAAGTCAAACATAAAGAGTAAATCTTGAAAGCAGAAAGTAAAAAGTAATTCATTATATATGATGTGATGAAAGCAAAAGAGCGTCAACCAAAAATTCTACATCTAGCACAACTGTCCTCCAAAAAAGTGAGAAATCAAGATGTTCTTGGATAAACAAAACCAGAAAATTTGTCAGTAGTACAACTGCCCTATAAGAAACACTAAAAGAAGTCCTCCGGGATAAAATGAAAGTACATAAGGCAGTTACTAGAATCCACAAACAGAAAAAATAAGTTAACACCAGTAAAATTAACTGCATAGGTAAATATATCTACAAGTGTTTTTGTGTATAACTTTCTTCTTCTCCTTGCTGACTTATGAGATTATGATAAAGCAGTACTTAGATGGAGATTTATACTTGTTAATCACTATATTAATAAAGAAGAAAGGTTTCAAATCAATAACTTAAATTTCTATCTAAAAAATTAGGAAAAAAAAGCGCAAACTAAACTCAAAGCTATCTGAGGGAAGGAAATAAGAAAGATTAGAGTGGAAATGAACAAAATACAAAACAGAAAAATGGTAGAAAAAAATCGACAAAACCCAAAATTTGTTATTTAGAAAGATCAATGAAATTGAAAAAACCTGTAGTTAAGACTAAGGAAAAAAAAAAAAGAACAAATTACTAATACCAGTAACAAAACAGTGTAACTGCTATCAACCTTACACATATAACATGGATTATAAGAGAATACTATGAACAATTAATTGTACACTAAAAAATTAGATAACCTAGATACGATAATACCAAGTGCTAGTGATGATGCAAAGCTATCAGAACTCTTATTCATTGCTGGTGAGAATGCAAACACTCTGAAAAATGGTTTGACAATTTCTTACAAAGTTAAATATATACTTACCATATGACTCAGCAATCTTACCCTAGATAAATGAAAACTTATGTTCACATAAAAACCTGCATACCTGTGTTTATAGTAGCTCTTGTCATACTTGCCAAACACTGGATGTAACCCAAATGTACTTCAATGAGTGAATGGATAAACAAGTTCTGGTACCTTCCTGTAATGGAATACTAACCAGCAATAGAGAAGAATAAAATGCTGATACATACAACTTGGGTGAAATTTAAAGGCCTTAAGCTGAATAAAAGAAGCCCTTGTCACATTTTTGCTGCATTATTGAAAAGACAAAGCTATAGAAATGGACAATATATCAGTGGTTTCCAGGAATTATGGTAGGAAGGAGGGTGAGTTTAGAAAGTTAGTGCCAGGGAGTTTTTTGAAATAATATAACTTTTCTATATCCTGATTATAGTAGTAATTACATGATCTATACATAAGCATTAAAATGCATAGAACTGTATACCAAAAGGGAAAAAAATGTTATATTCACTGTATGATAAGTAAATATAAAATATAATGAAATAATATAATAGGATCATATTGGAGGGAGGAAGCATAAATCAGTCCATCAGAAAGTGTGGAGATGGGGGAGAAAGCTTTTGTTACTTAAACTATGTCATAGGAAATTAAAATACAGAACTGTAATGAATGGTGTAATTGAGAAGAGAGAAACGAGATGATTGAGGTCCCATATTGGCTTTGTAGGCTTGAATTTCTCTCATATAAAATGTAATGAGCAATTGCTAAATTGCTACTTTTGTTATTTTATTATTGATATAACCAAAATCAGATCCAATTGTATTTAAAAAGCTGTCTGCATATAAAACCTAGATTACATAAATGTGTTTTTTCCTGGGTGTAAGTACTCAGAAGGCAGGAGCTTCTTATTTTATATATTTTTCACAATTATGTGGGCATAGGTATTTTTCATGAAGCCATAAAATATTAAAATGTTAAATATCTTTTTGGGTATAATGGAGAGATCTGGTTTTAGTTATAAAGAACTTAACAAATGCCCCTGTAAACGTTTTCACTTAGTAGACTGAAACCACGTTTTGCAATATATACTTTTGGATATCACAGTCAGCAAGGAGAATGCTACATTAATGACAGATGCACTTTTTGGAGAAGTATGAGGTGTGTAATAATTTTTAAAACTGTCTATTTATTATAAATACTGCTTCAAATGTTCATATCAACTTTAATATAAATTTAGAAGTATTATTCTTTAAGAGATTATAGGACTTGAATTGAAATAGAACACATTATTTAACCAATGGCAAGTGAAGTAGAATGATAAAATCTCACTTTAACATTGACTCTTTTAAGCATATTTGAATCTGCTTTATGACAGACACATCATCCAGAATATTGCATATGTCTACAAAAAGAAGATTGGTTAAGATAATCTTTTTTTTTTGTTTATTTTGTCCCCGTTGCACCCAGAGTTTATTATAGGGCATATATAACATAAGAAATGATTCTTGGCTTCAAATCTATAATATTGAAATTTTTTTTAGGTTCTCATTAGAAACTTGCTTTGTAACCCTGAGTGGATACATTTGATGTGTCCAGTTTCATTGCTCTGAACTGTTTATATCTCAGCAGGA